GACCCTTTCGCTCCTCACCGACTACTCCGACTATTCGATTTTTCACGACCCGTTGCATTTTCGATTCTTAGCCGTCTTTCTGCACTTTACGGCTACTTGCGACACTGTTTCATGAACCACCACGACCGCCGTTGGACTTGACGAGGAAACTTTCGGGAACAAAGAGCTAGGAACAGGACCGAAGAGAACGGACAGCAAGAGGCAGGAAACGATTTGATCCCAAATCCACGAACGCGTCGATCCATCTTTTCGTCACTCTCATTCATGTCGCATCCTTCAACAACTCAATTCAACTCCACCTACGCATAGACGATGCCGCGCGACGCTTCAATCCTCTACTAGCCTACCCGAACCTCGAACCTCACCACCAACGCCCGACTCTTTCCCGGGCGTATCTACACCCTTCTCGCCGCGTCTTGACGACGCCGGCTTTCCGTCTACCGTTTTGGAAACAGGTTTCTTCGACCATCGACCGCAATCATGTTGCGGCCGGCAACCCCCATGTCGCTGCTGCTGCTAGCGGCCTTCGCCCTGATGCTGCTGTCAACTCTGTCGACCCCCATCATCAAGGCTATCCCGCTCGGCAGCTTCCAGGGCGTCAACTTTGGAGTTTTCGGCGTTTGCAAGGCCGACGGCTCATGCACCGGCATCGAAATCGGATATGACACTTGTAAGACGACACACTAACAAGAATCTCATTATCGTGCCATGAGAATCGTTGCTGACTTCATCTGCAGCTGGATTGTTTCAAAAGTCGGGCGCCTTTGACCTCCCGGACTCGGCCCGAAACACTCTTTCTGCCATTCTGATTGTGCATCCTATCGCCGCCCTGACGACACTCATCATGTTCATCATGGCTGCCGTCGCTCACCTTCACTCACCATCTCACTCCGCTCGCTACCTTCTCGTTGTCTTCATCTTCTCCTTCATCGACTTTCTCATCTGCCTCTTGGCCTTCCTCGTCGATGTCCTCCTCTTCGTGCCTCACATGGCCTGGGGCTCGTACATCGTTCTCGCCGCCACTATACTGGTGGGCATGAGCGGCTTGGTCTCCTGCGCCATGCGGCGTATGCTGGTCACCAGGAAAGCGAGAAAGAAGAGGATCGCCGAAAATGCTGAAATGAGTGGCGAGAACTATTACAATCGCGAAGCTCAAACCAAGACCGCCACTTCTGTTGCTTCTCAGCCGACTGTTCCGGTCGTCACTGGTGGAAACGGCATCGACAAAATGCCCACCTTTGCGTCTTTCGAATCACAGAAGAAGGACGACCAAGTCAGCGATGAGCGAATTCCTCTCACGGCCCGGAGCCCGGTCGACAGGAACCAGGGCAACATGATGGGCGTTGATGGTTACGCCAACGCCCCCCCCTCAAGATCCGGCTCTGCTCCCCCTATCAACAGAGATCCCTACGGAAACCCCATGCCTGGACCCGATGGCTACGGTCCTAGAAGAGGACCTTCGCAAGAACGTATGCGGGGCAGAGGTGGTATGCCTCCTGGAGGACCCAGAGGACGCGGCGGAGGTTACGGCGGAGGCAGAGGCGGATACAATGGCTACGGCCCTCCGCCTGGAAGAGGCGGCTACGGGCCCCCGGGACGCGGAGGTTACGGCCCTCCTCCGGGTGGTAGGGGTGGGTACGGACCACCGCCCCGTGGAGGCTACGGCCCTGGTGGCATGAGAGGCGGACGACCTCCCCCACCAGGCTACCAGAACAATGCAGGACCTTACGACCGGAGACCTAGCCCGGCCAATGCTTATGGCGCTCCCGCTCCCGGTCCTTACGGACGCAGCGGTTCAGAATCGGCGCCAAGCTACACTGCGACCAACACAAACCCATCTCTCCCGAGTATCCCCCAACAACAAGGATATGAGGCATACAACCCTGATCGGAACAGCCTACCGAGGGCTGAGTCACCCCCGCCTCTGCCTGGCGACGCGCCAGCCCCGATGGTTGGCCAAGCTGTCGAGATGGACGCGAGAACAGGCAGCCCCGCCCAGCCGCCCCCGGGCTTCGGGCAGTTCAGAGATAGTGACGCTGACATTGCCGGCATGGTCGGACTGCAACAAGGCGGTGGTAACAGATCTAATCCTCAGAGGCATGACACCTACATGAGTGAGACAAGCAGGTACAGCCAGGATGAGTACGTTTCTTTGTGTGATCACCTGAAAGCTCCTACTAACGTTCTTCCAAGCGCATACGTCCCTCCTCGTGCCGCATGGAACCAAAACCAGCCCCCATCAAGAAACGCCTCCCCGCTCTCGCGTGCTGAGATGCCCGGACGTAGCTCCCCTGCCCAGCCCACAGCAAGCGACTACTACGAGGACGTTGATCCGCGCTTCGCGGACGCACCGGCCCCCGCCCCCGCCGGCAGAGCAGGCCCTCCACCTGCCCTTCAGGTACCTCTTTCCGTGCCCAATATGTATGATTTAGACACTCATGAAGGTGCCGGTGCGCGCAGTCCTGGCGCCGAGTCTGATCGGTCCAATTTCACATCAATATCCCAACGGGGCATAAACCCGAGATGGAACCCCCCAGCGCCTTACGGCCAGGGCCCGCCTCGGCGGCCGCCTCAGCAGCGACGGCAAGATATGCTGCTGAACAACAACCCCGACTTCGAGCTGCCTGGAAAACGTCTCGGTCCCCCATCAAGACCGGGAGGTCCTGGCATGATACCCGGCAGCGCCTACCCGACGGGACTTTAATCGCTCCCCTCACTCGACCATAATCGGTTACGTTCTCCCCAACAGTCGAGTCAACTCGCCACGCATATACACCATCCACGGGATGCTTGGCACTTCAATTCGTCACCCTCCCTTGCAACAACACGAGCCACATTTTTGAGTCTCAGCGCAGGACTCATGATGTCCATACAGTCATGTCCTTCAGCCGATACCCCAGCCACATCATTTTGTTCTCGTCCGCCCAGTACATACACATCGGGCTCGTGGTTTCTCTTTTCAAAACGGGCATTTCTCTTCTGGCAAGTGCTTCTTTGCATCTCGAACAGCGGATACATTGGAGTCCTCGTCCTCAAGCATTAACGATCAAAAACCCCTTTTTCCTTTTGAGTCGGTACCTTTCAAAACAATGACCTCCTTTTTTTTTTTCGTCATTTGGATGTTGGGTCAGGCAGTGTGACCTGGCCCATCGACCTCCAGCGCCCTTGTGTTGGGCCTTTTGAGCTAATCGATCCTGAAACGATAGCATGTGGGACACGATAGAATCATTGTTTGTGCATGTGTAAGCTATCTGGTCGTGGCCGTCTTTCTTCGACCTCTCTGTTTTCATGTTACGAGAGGCTATAGGGCGTGGTCGCAAAGGGGTGGGAAGAAATACAGAAAGTGGAGGTTTCAGGATCGTCGGCTTGGCTTGGTTTCTCTGGGCCCATTGGGTTTCTTGCATGTGATGGAGAAGGTCACGGATGGATACCTTGCTCCAGAGTGCGAGACTTGGGGGGGCCCTCATCGCATCGAAACGGTGCGACGGCGTAGCAACAACATAGGCCAAGGTGTGTGTGGTGGAGGCAGAACACAATGAGAAGTGTAGAATTCATCCGAACCATGCACCGTGCTCCCTCCCCCCTGCTGTCCGTGAAGCTTGGCGCTAGTGCCTGTCATTCCACTAGACGTGAGAACCTTAACCCTACTCTGACCGAGGCAGCAGCAGTATCGTACGGTGGCGTCTGCCTCTCGGTCACTGGACGTCTGGATTTGACTCTTCAGCGTTGTCGATCTTCCCACGACAGCTGCCCCTCTCCGTAAGGTCGTTCTCCACTCCGCATGGGGTAACGTTGCCGTGGCCCCGAGTCTCGATCCCAGAGGCTTGGCGGGCCGCAAGGTTAGCTGAGCTGACATACATACGGACCGACTCGGTAGTTAGGGCGCTTAGCGTCTCGATCTTTGGTTTGTGAGATGTCGTCTTCTCCGCGGCGTAGGGCTGCTAGTTGGGTGGGATATCAGGCCATGTTGAAGGTTTACGGACGAAGACGGCTGGTGATGGAGAAGACCAGCTGGAGATAGAGTTTCGGGAGGCAGCTGTCAACGTTGATATCTCGGCTGGTGAAACAAGTGAGGCTGGCATTGTTCGGAGGCTTTGTGGGGAGGATGACAATGGACGTGGTGTTGAGGTGGTTCAGTGGGAGCTGAAGGGAGCTTCAGATGTTGGTACTAAGGGCCTTCGCATTGCCCTTTCTGGGGAAGGTGGAGATCTGTAAATGGGTGGTTGTAAGCGAAAGTTTGATGCCACCGGTCTTGGGAAGGGAGCTTGGGCGGGTCCAGGGTAGATGGATGATGCTGTTGGCGGGAGCAGAGGCAAACATGGCTTGCCTTAGGCTGATGGGGTCTGTAAGCTGGATAGCTCTAGCCATTGCCCTTTTGGAGATGAGGACGCTGGAGGTGCTTGGATGTGATTGGGTCGTTGGCTTGAAGTATGTCGTCGACTGAATCTGTGGCGTCCTTTTTGGGGGGCGTTTTTCCAACGGGGGCGGGTTCTGTTTGAAATGAAGGCTCTCGTATGGACTGGGGAACGAGGTTTCTTGTCGTTAGTTCCGTGTTGAAACGGGAAGAAAGGGGGCGCGCTCCCGGGGTTGTTGTGTAACCAGAGGGCAGATTGCGCTTGGTGGTAGCTTTTCCGGGGAAGGATGGCGGGTTTGGATCGCTCCGGGAAGCGCGCGGTCTGTGCCGTTGGGGATGTTGGACCGGTTCGTAGGTATGGTCCTTTTGAGAGGCTTGGTTGGGGTTTGTGATGGTGCGTGCTGCGTGCCTGCATGAGATTGGCATTTTTGCTGTGTTGGTCGGTTTGTTGGTGTTGTTTTTAGAGGAGCATCAAAGGAGGGCGAGTTGGCGTTGATACTGGGGATATAAGAGATGACGATGGCGCCCCTGATATGGAAAGTTTTGGATGTTGCTCGAGGTATCTTCATTGTCTCATTGAGAAGTTTCGACGAATAACTACCATCTACCGTCGATATTTCATCTGCAGACTTGTTCAGCCGCCAACATGTATGCCACTGGTATTTCTCGATCTCCGGAGAAGTTGATCGGTAGATTGGGTCTGGAGTCGCATCGACACTTTATTCTGTTCATCTTCCCCGTCCGCAAAAGCGACGATGTCGTCTACGTCGTTGGCGAGATGCACCGATACCATCTCTGGGTGTTCGACTCTGCGCCGCTGGTGCTTCCACGCCTCGAGGAGCACGTTTCTAACGGTGGTGGCGTCGACATTGGCAGAGTCAGGAGCTTCTCCAAGGGCATCGACACGGAGGTGCTGGGAGATCCAGTCGAAATCCTGCGATCTTGCCTCCAGGCTTCGACTTCTTTGTGGTGAGTTTTATTGTTCATCTTTGTTCTTATCAGACCTTTGAGAGCGAACGTGGCCTTGCCGATGTTTCCCCTTGCTGTCCTCGACACCGTGTGGGTTTCGGCGCCTTTCTCCATCCTTCATCAACATCTCGACCTTTGTCGTAGTCTGTGTGGCAGGCTGAGATGGAAGGCAAGATCAACCACGACCTTGGGAAAAGAATATCGGGCATCTGATTTCTCTTTCTGGTCCGATCTTGATCCTGGAGTAGATTTTGGTGGGCATCTTCGGTAGTGGGAAGGTGCTGCGAGCTCCTTCCTTGACGTCCAGGTGCCTGCCTTCCTACCTTGCCTCACCACCCGCCTACCTCACTCACGACGCGTCGCGCTTTACATCTGTAAGAAGCAAGCGCTCTCACCTTCCTTCCATTCTTCTTTTCATCTCGAGCTTGCCCTCCACAACTTCCGATTTTTTCATCCTCCCCCCCCCCCCCCCCCCCCACGATAAAATCCGTCCAACCTCCTTCTTCCTCTATCCCACCCAATCCTCTCACCCGTCGTCACCTTCACCTTCACATTCTCTCATTCCTTCCTCCCTCGCACCTCCATCTTCGTCTAGACCAATTTCCTGATTGAAGCAACAGAGTCGTCTTGGCCGGCACGCATTCATACCAGGGATACGAATTGGATGACGCCAAAGTATGCGGAAGCCCTGATTTTCAGAATGGACCATCTATCTTCTTCCTCGCCCAAGACGAGCGCGATTAAATTTACCCAGCAATCTGCCAGCACCTTCCATCAGGATGTTCCCAGACAGACCTACACCACTGCCGGTACCATCTACAACCCCAACAACGCCCAGCCGCTCCAGCCTCCCGTTCGTCGCGCCAGGTCTGTCAAGTGGCCTCCTCCAGGAGGTCCTGCCTCCGAACTGTCTCTCTTCCCCAAGTCAGCTCTTTCCAGCCTGTCCTTGATGAAGCCTCAGCCTCTCTGCACGACACCTATCAGTCCTCTTCCCAACCAAATCCCCAAATACTCGCCCCTTCAGCAAAACTACGACCGCGCTGTTAGCCCCAGCACTGATCACAGCCGCGAGTCTCCGATTGATCTGGATATCCAAAGCCTTTCTACATCTCGCGTATCTTCTTTCAACATGGCCACCACCACCACCACCGCCACCCAGCTGGCTTCCCCGATGGAGGTTGCCCTACCCACCCCTATCTCGGACAAGCAAGTCAACGACCACGACTCCAGTGACGAGGAGGATGACGACGCCCTGGGAGAGAATCCCTTCAAGGGTATGACCGTCAAGTCTCTTCAGAACCTGGCTTCGTATCCCAACCCTAACCAGAAGAGAGCTCAGAAGGCGCTTCTTCGGGCTCGTCCGGGCGTCACTCCCGCCCCTTCCATTGGAACTAACGCCAGCCGCTCCACTACTCCCGCTTTCAGTGGATATTCCTACGGAGACATGTCCGACATGGGCAACGACGGCTCGCACTCTCCGGGTCCGTTCCACAATGCCAAGCTTGATCCGACCGATGTCCTTAGGGTGCACGTTGACTTCAACAAGCATACTTCAGACGCTGCTGGTGGTTGGAGATCTGCACCCGTCGGCAATGACATCGCTGGCCCTTTCAGGCAGTACAATGCCCTCCCTCAGAGAGGCACTCAAGTTGGAGCGTACAAGTCTAGCCTGGCAACTGGTCCTGGCGCTCCTTTGCCGTTGACTGCCGGCCCTCCTGGCCAGCGCCAATACCGCACGCCGACATTCGAGTCCGCCATGAAAGCTCTCCAGGATGGTCCCAAATCTGAATTTTCTGGCGAGGAGTCAGCTTCCGACTTTTACGCTGGCCCTCCCGGTCTACACAAGGCCCATGATATCATTCAGAACCCTGGCCCGGCGACCCCTGATCATTTGATCCACAGTCTGCCTGCGCTTCTTCTCGACTCGACGCCTGATAAGGACGACTGGTTGGACTCGTTCGGAAGACAGACGTCTGCTGTGGACCTGGAGAAGATGCTCGACGCTTTGACGAATGATGACAAGGCCACCAACGAGAAGCAAGGCTTCCAGCAGCCCGCAGACTTCATGCCGTTTGGACACGGTAACCGCAGCTTCAACGTTGGCGGCAACAGACGCACCGGCAATGCGCCATATGAGAAGTACTGGCCTCCTCGCCCAGTTTGGAAGGCAGGAACGAGCCAGATCTCAGACGAAGCGCTGGAGGCACGAAACGAACGTGTCAACCGTCTGTTCTACGCGGGCACTGGCGAGCTCGGTAAAAGCATGGAGTCCGTTATGAGAGACGCCGAGTTCCGTCAATTCAAGCGTCAAGTTGGAGTCATTGGAGACGGTCGACCTAAGCCCAAGGCAGAGAAGGTCGAGTACCCGCACATATCTGCTCAACAGGTTAACAGCATGACGACCAAGGAGGCCGCAGACCCCTTCATCACCATGGCCTTCTCGGCGCTTCTGAACCAGGTCGAGGCGGGTATCAGCCAAGACAAGTTCCATCAGTGGAAGGACCCGTCGCCTTCCCTGGTCGACAGATCCGAAAAGGGACGTCAATCGGTCTTTGGAAACTGAATCTAGGACTGGGTATGGCAACCATCAGAATTGCGCATACTGGCTTGGCTTCGTTGGCGAGGATGCTTGGATGGGGACTCTATACTTGGGGCCTCTTGTGTGTTGTCGGCTGGAGCAGGTCTTGGTATTACAAAGGTGTTAGACACGACAGCCACCATCGAAACATAGGTTAATGGGGAATGAAGGAAGTTGTTAGTAGTGTCTTCTAGATTCAGGCGGTACCGCAAGGCAGCTCATGCTGGCCACCAGTCTTTTCTACTTTATTCTCTCAGATAGACAATCAAAAGTTTAGGTATCTTTCAACCTGCCGCGTTGGCGTGAGATGCCCGGTGAGAGAGCCCTTGCGTTGGAAGACATGTTTGCTTGGCGTGAGCTGGCGTCTAAATAAGCCCGCGACATGGCTTAGTACGGTGTCAAATGGAGGATAAGCCACACTTCCTTGTGAGATGACTCAAATGCCACCGTTCGCGAGAGCTGCTGCTGTGGCTGACATACCTAGTTGCGTCGCAATCTGGCCAGAGCAGGGATGTCAATTGAGTCACGTGATGTGACCCGCCCAAATGTTCTTGTGGGGCATTGCCTGTCCCCCTTCACACCTGAAGGCGACGTGGTAGCAAGCTGGCCTCCAGACCCGACTTCAGACCAGCCCGCCAAAACACCCGTTGCCCATCATGAGTTACGGCAAGAAAGACGAAGACGCCGATTTGGGCTTGGTGAAGGTGGACAGAACCCAAGTCTTCCAAGAAGGTTAGTTGGAATTTCTGCAGCTCGAGCGTTTGCGAGCAAGCTGGCTAAAAGGGCGGGATAGCACGCCTATTCAACAGCTCTCCTATCCAACCGCGAAGATGCCGGACCCTGCTCACCAAGATCCTCCTTCTGCTCTACACGGGCGAGAAGTTCCCCACGAACGAAGCGACGACCCTCTTCTTTGGCATCTCGAAGCTCTTCCAGAATAAGGATGCCAGCCTTCGGCAAGCGGTTCACCTCTGTGTGAAGGTTAGACCAGTCCAATACGGATGAAGCATGGCTTGTGGGCTCACCTTGATCGCAGGAACTCGCGTCCTCCGCCGAGGACATCATCATGGTCACCAGCACCGTCATGAAGGACACTGGAGGCAGCACAGATGCCATCTACCGTCCCAATGCTATCCGCGCCCTGTGCCGCATTATCGATGTACGCTGAGCTCCGAGCTCCACGATACCAGGGATGGCATGCGCTAACTAGCTCCAGGCGACCACCGTCCAGTCCATTGAGCGAGTGATGAAGACCGCAATCGTCGACAAGAACCCCTCCGTTTCGTCCGCCGCCCTCGTATCGTCCTACCACCTCCTTCCGATTGCCAAGGACGTCGTCCGCCGCTGGCAGAGCGAGACACAGGAGGCTGCCGCCTCCACCAAGTCCTCGAGCGGCTTCTCCCTGGGCTTCTCCTCCTCGAGCGGCCAATTGCCCGCCAACAACTCGACCATGCCCCAGTACCACGCCATTGGTCTCCTATACTCGATGCGCATGCACGACCGCATGGCCCTGGTGAAGATGGTGCAGCAGTTCGGCGCGGCAGGTGCGGTCAAGAGCTCCGCCGCGATCGTCATGCTCGTCCGTCTGGCCGCCCAGCTCGCTGAGGAGGACCCTTCGCTCAGGAAGCCCATGATGCAGCTGCTGGATGGCTGGCTGCGCCACAAGAGCGAGATGGTCAACTTCGAGGCCGCCAAGGCCATTTGCGACATGCGCGATGTCACCGATGCCGAAGTGTCCCAGGCCGTCCACGTTCTCCAGCTCTTCCTCACCTCTCCCCGCGCCGTCACCAAGTTCGCCGCCCTCCGCATCCTCCACAACTTCGCCTCCTTCAAGCCCAACGCCGTCAACGTCTGCAACCCCGATATTGAGCTCTTGATTTCCAACAGCAACCGATCGATTGCCACCTTTGCCATCACCACCCTGCTCAAGACCGGTAACGAGGCCAGTGTCGACCGCCTGATGAAGCAGATTTCTGGCTTCATGTCTGAGATCACCGACGAGTTCAAGATCACGATTGTCGAGGCCATCCGCACCTTGTGCCTGAAGTTTCCCAGCAAGCAGGCTGGCATGCTTGCTTTCCTTAGCGGCATCCTCCGCGACGAGGGTGGCTACGAGTTCAAGCGTGCTGTTGTCGAGAGCATGTTTGACCTGATCAAGTTTGTACCGGAGTCCAAGGAGGATGCGCTCGCTCACCTTTGCGAGTTCATTGAGGACTGCGAGTTTACTAAGCTTGCCGTCCGCATCCTGCACCTCCTCGGTCTCGAGGGACCCAAGACCTCCCAGCCGACCAAGTACATCCGCTACATCTACAACAGAGTGGTTTTGGAGAACGCGATCGTCAGAGCCGCCGCCGTCACCGCTCTCGCCAAGTTTGGTGTTGGCCAGAAGGACCCCGAGGTCAAGCGCAGTGTCGAGGTTCTCCTCA